GGGTTGAGATATTATTAGCAGAGTTTTAAAAAAATCCACAATGTATCTCAGAAAAACCGGCGAGTGTGTTTAAATTTGACAGTGTTGGCTTGTTCTTAGTTAAAATTGAGATTGCTGGGGAATATATATTCAGTTAAAGCTGAAGATACTCTAATTTTTTGTACTGTTCAGTAATTGTCACTTTTTCTAAGCCTACCAGAAAAATCACGAATACTATTGGGAGGCCTAAGATGATTGATGAAAAAGGGATATGAATTATAGCAAGTGAAGGTGAGAAAAAGAAGTGAAATTGGTGACTCTGTTGGTACAGACTGAGGACTTACGTGTCAAAGCAATGTGCTGCAGTCAGGAGCCACTCCTCACTGATCAAAGAGGCCCCACAATAGTGGGTGCCATCCATTTGCAGGCTGGCTTGCCATGGCCAATCAGCTTTCTTTGCAATATAACCATTAGCAATTTTTTCCATGGATGGAGACTCTCTCCCTAAACCACAACCTGTCATAAGAGAATAAGATGATTATTTCTAGAGTGATCAATGTGTATACGTATATTTGGCACATAGTAAAATATGGGAACATTCATAGGTTTGCCTGGCCTTAAAATTTAATCAAAATTACATGATAGAATAATAATGTATACTAAAATGGTTAACTTAAAACATAAAATATTTAATACCCTCCCTGGTGTATTTAAAGCAATTTCACTTAATTTTTTTCTTATATTTTGGGATCATGTTCTTAGGTGCAGCATTTACCCCCATGATATTTGATGGTTTTGATTGTGAAATGTACACTAATTATTGCAGAAAAAATACTATTTGTACTATTTTATTTAAATACTTGTCTAATAGTAAAACCATTACATAACTTAATATAAATATCTAAGTTTACATATTAAAGTTAGTGGGTGTCATTTACTTCTAAACAAATTTTCTACTTTAACAAAGTGAACCAAATAAAAATAAATAAGATAAAATGAAAGGGAACTCTTTAAAAGAAGTCATCAGTGAATCCTTCTATAAAGAAGAGCAAGTTATTTCCAAAGAGCCCATGTGACATGAATTCCCAATTATTACTAATAATTATTTTCCCTTGAGGAGAGTTAAATCATGTATCCATTTAGAGATATCATATACTTTTGGAAATAGTAAACATGGGAGTAGAGAAACTCTTCTCTCTCTCTTTTTAATTGATTTCAGAGGAAGGGAAAGGTTGAGAGAGATTGAAACATCAATTATAAGAATCATTTGATAGGCTGCCTCCTGCATGCCCCCTACTGGGATCGAGCCCACAACCGGGGCATGTGTCTTTCACTGGAATCAAACCCGGGACCCTTTAGTCCGCAGGCCAATGCTCTATCCACTGAGCCAAACTGGCTAGGGCAAGAAACTCTTAAAAGTGTTTTTAAGTTTTATTATTTGATCTATAAAACATCTCAGTGATATTTTTGAACTTACCGCTGTTCAGAATGTGCTCTGCTTGTATTTTATTTATATCTGGAAAAAATACAAGATGATTACTCAGCAATGGAACAATTATCATTTAAAACACTGTACCTGCATGACATGAATATTTCTATTTGGAAGAAACTGAATTAGTTAGGAAATACTTAATTTAAAGGCAATAGAATAAAATCCTACAAAAAGGGGAAGCTTAGATATAAATTAAACTCTTCATGCCTACTATATGTGGACTCTAGGAAAATACTGGTTAATTGTTATAAAAACATTGGCAGAGAGGATGCTATTGTTTGCCATGAAGGCGGATTAATGCCATGCCAATTTATTAAAATACAAGTGAAACTGAAGAGAACCTAAGACCACTTTTACATATATACTAATATGTTTGGACACTGTTCTCCTCCATCTTCATTCACACAGTAGTGTTACTGTAAAGCCATTAAGAATCTTAGACAGCTGGCATCGAGGGTTGGTCCATAGATGCTCCCTGTGGAATCAAAATCTACCAATATCCTAACAAATCCTCAAATATATTAGTCATTTTTATCATGAAGTAAAATAAAAAACAAAGCATGCTCAGTTGTTCCCCACAATTACATGAATTTCTCCTTATGCCAGATAGCATAAGGAGCAATCTAGACCCATATTTTGCTACAATGAAAGCTGTGTGAAATTTCAGTAAACCTGCAAATTAAGGAATCTTTAATGTAGGTCAGACTCTAACCGAGAACATAAAATTCATCTGCAGATTACTATGGGTAGGGAGTTTATTAGAGTAAGTCCCTTAGAATTAGGTTTTGCCAATAATAACAATCTCAAAAGTATATAAAGTGTATGATTCCATTTATGTAACATTCATGAAATAATATAATTACACTAGAGGCCCAGTGTATGAAATTCGTGCATGGGGGGTGGGAATCCCTCAGCCTGGCCTGCACCCTCTCCAATCTGGAACTGCTGGCTCCTAACCACTCACCAGCCTGACTGCCTGATCGCCTCTAACTGCCTCTGCCTGCCAGCCTGATCACCCCTAACCACCTCTGCCTCAACCCCTGCCACCATGGCTTTGTCCGGAAGGAGGACTGGACGACCAAAAGATGTCCGGTCTATCCGGTCTCATTTGCATATTACCCTTTTATTAGTATAGATAGATGGAGAATGGATTAGGGTTGCCAGGGGCTAGAGATGGGCAGAGGGTTTGGGTGTGGCTATAAAGAAGTAACACAAGGTAGTCTTCTCATGGCACAGTAGCAGAGTATAGGTTGTTTTTTTTTTAAATCATATCCATGTTTAATTCAAACAATTATACTAATATCTCTCTTTCAAAAAAGGAGGAATTGCTATTATATTTGTGTTATTATATAATTATTATATAATTATTCTGTCTTAATTATTTCCATATTAATCAAAGGAATATTTTGGTGTTGATTGGGTTTTTGCTTATTATCAAGTAAATGAGAGACTTAAAAATGAAAAGCATTTTCATTTTATGGGGAAATAAAGATCCTTTCTCTGTAGATGAGAAGATAGTAAAATTGTGAACTATAGCAAGGAGAGAAAAATGGTATTTCTTACCTTTAAGATAAGGCAATGAAGTATCTATCTTCAAGAAGCTTTCATTTAATTTTAACTTCTGATGCAAAATGTTAGCAGCTTGACTTTTTACTGTTTCTGCATTGTTAGGAAGAAAGTGAAATTTAAGCAATACATCTGTTTTCAATCCATCATCACTTGACCTGGAAAACAAAAACACCAGAATAAATAAGTGAAGTCATAGCCATAATTATTATTTTATACCTTATTATTTAAGTATTAGTTATATCTTCAAAAATACAACATAAATATTTTATTATCATAGATTTTTCCCTTTCTTTTATCATGTAGGTGTTAATACATAAATTATTCCCTGTTCATAAAAGTGTTTCATATTTAGGGAGGGGAGAGTAAAATTCTAGAGTTTTGGAATTTTTTTTCTGGAAAAATAAATCAAAAGTACTTGTTAAATCCATCAACTCTGTCTACATATATTTTTTCTTAATTTTTAAAAATTCATATCTGTTTATGCTTAAAATTCAAGTAAAATTTAAAAATTAAGCTCAACCAGGTGTGACTCAGCAGTTGAGCGTGGACCGGAATAAGGTCACATGTTCTATTTCCGGTCAGGGCATATGCCCAGGTTGCAGGATCGATCCCCAATGTGGGGTGTGCAGGAGCCAGCCAATCAATGATTCTCTCTCATCATTGATGTTTCTCTCTCTCTCTCTCTCTCTCTTTCTCTCTCTTTCTCTCTCTCTCTCCCTTCTTCTCTGAAATCAATAAAAATATATTTTAAAAAAATTAAGTAAAAGTATTTAATGATTGTGAGAATCTTTAACTGAAGGGCAAGTCTTTTTTTTTTTAATCCTCATGCGCGGATATGTTTTCATTGGTTTTTATAGAGAGAGTGAGGAAGAGTGTGTATGTGAGAGAGAAATATCAATGTAAAGAGAAACATCAATAGGTTGCCTCCTGCACGTGCCCCAACCGGGGTTGAACTCACAACCTAGGTATGTGCCCTACCAGAATCAGACCCACAATCTTTTTTCTGTGCAAAATATGTTTTTAATTATTTTTTTTAAGAGAGAGGAAGGTACAGAGGGAGAAAGAGAAAAACATTGATGTGAGAGAGAAACATCCATTGGTTGCCTCTGTACACACCCTAATGGGGGGATGAAACCCAAAATCTGGGTATGTGCCCAGATGGGGAATCAAACCAGTGACCCTTCAGTGCACAGGACTGTGCTCAACCAACTGAGCCATTCGGCCTGGGAAGAAATGCAAGTCTTTAAAAGAACAACCAGAAGAATGTATTTAATCTCTACCCAAGTCAAGAAAGTATCCCCTCTAGGTACTCTGTAGAAGAGGGATAACAATTAAACATAGTAATATGAAATTGTTTTTGCTCTTGGTATATCTAAAATTTTTTAAATATATATTTTTATTTATTTCGGAGAGGAAGGGAGAGGGAGAGAGATAGAAACATCAATGATGGGAGAGAATCATTGATTGGCTGCCTCCTGCTCATCCACTATTGGGGATCAAGCCTGAAACCCAGGCCTGTACCCTGACCGGGAATCAAACCGTGACTTCCTGGTTCATAGGTCAACGCTCAACCACTGAGCCATGTCAGCTGAGCTATCTAAGATTTTCATATCCTGTCAACAAAGCAAATAAATGAAGAATAACTAAATAAAACAAAATTGCCCTTTCATTATACAAATTGATTAGTTATGATTACCTAAAGTTGACAACATGAGACTCGATGTAATGATGATTTAAACTGGAATTTTGAAATATCTTATCAATCTGAGAAAAGAAAAAAACAACACACAGCATAGAACTTTGTTAAATATGAATTTCACACATTTCAATATAACACAAAAAAGTTTGTATAAAACCTGCAGTGATTCAAATAGCATTTAATTCTGTGTTGCTTTATACCTATCCCCACCCAGAAAGCTCACTGGGGCATAATCCTGTTATCAGAAAGATCTTCCTAGTAATTAGATGTTGATATTTAAACAAATTGTCACACGGTTAAAGATGGCTGATATAGAGTTGAATGAAGCTAGCTGTTTCAACAGCCAATATAAAATATGCACAGAGTTGGAGGTACAAAGACAGAGGTTCTTTGAAAACTGGCTACATAAGGACTTAAAATCCTCTGTCATTCAAGTTCAGTTATCTTCCTCATGGAGGTGATTGAAGAATCAGTCTTTTAGGCTTTTCTGAAACTTTTTAGGCCATATTTTGATTCTGTGATAAATGGGGGAGAGGAAAAGAATATATATTTTTGGATACTTCTTTAAAATGAATATACTCAGCAAGAAAAATCATGAAATAATAACAGAATAAGACTATGCTATTTGTGTGTCATTTTAGACATTTGTGGGATAATTTCTGTGTAATATTAATTCCTAGAAGAAATTATTTTGTACTAAAACCACAGATTGTTACAGAATCTGTGGTTGCACTAACCTATTCATTAACATTGACTCATCAATCTGGCTTTTCAGAAAAAATGACAGATCATGTGCCAAATCTTAAGTGAACCTGAGTTTCAATAATTATTTCCTCAAATCAGAAGAGAAAAGAGCTGTCAAAATGTGAAACTAGACATGTGCTGAACAAGTGCTTTTCACTTATCTGATTTATGACATTTCCTGGTGAGGCACCATATCATATCCTATTAGATAGGATGGTAAGCATACAGTTATTGAAAAATCAAGTTATTAAAAAAAGAAAATTCAAGTTATTAAGAAAAACAATGACCAGGTGTTTTCCTTTAACAATGATAGAAAATTTGTTTTTCTAAGAATATAGTTTTATATACACACATGTACATTTATTTGACAAAACCTAATACATATTCATTGTAAAAAGTTATAAAAAGCTAGCAAAACAGCAAAGCATAATGAAAAGCATTAAAATAACTTTTGAATCACTGCAGAGAACCTGTAATTTTCATTTTGGGCATATGTACTTCCAGATTTCTACATAGATTCTTATAAATTTTACTATAAGTTCTCTGCCTATTTCCATTCTCTTTTCTATTTCATTATTTTGTTGTTGTTTCCTTTAAATCACAGTTTTGTGAACCATGTTATTGCCCATGGCAATATAAGCAGTCTAGATCATAAACAGTCTAGATTATTGAAATCCAAAAGACATCTCTAAATTTCATTTTAGGTACTGATTTTAGTCATTTCTTCTGGGATAATGTTTGCTAGAACTGAAACTCACAGTCTAAATCAGGGATCAGCAAGTTATAGCCTATAGGAAAAATCAGCCAGCCACTCGTTTTTGTGGGCCCATCATCTAAGAGTGGTCTTCATAGTATTTTAATAGTTGAAAAAAATCATAAAAAGAGTAATGTTTTGTGCCCGCTAAAAATTTTTACAAAATTTAACTTTCAGCATCCAGAATCAAGTTTTCCTGGGCTGCAGCCACACTGCTTGGCTCTGGTGCAGTAGCACTACAAAGACAGATCTGAATTGCTTCAGAAGGACTGTATGGCCTGCAAAACTGAAAATTTACTATCTGGCTTTTTTTTTAAAATTTCTTTATTGGTTAAGGTATTACAAATGTGTCCTCATCCCCCCATTAACCCCCAACCTCCCTCCACCCCCCGCACTCATACTCTCATCCCCCTGTTGTCCATGTCCATTGTTTTGGCTTATATGCATGCATACAAGTTCTTTGGTTGATCTCATCCCCTTACCCCCACACTCCCCTACTTTCCCTCTGGGAATTGATAGTCTGATCTCTGTTTCTCTGTCTTTGGATCTGTCCCTCTTCATCAGTCTATGTTGTTCTCTATATTCCACAGATGAGTGAGATCATGTGGTATTTATCTTTCTCTGACTGGCTTATTTCACTTAGCATAATGCTCTCCAGTGCCATCCCATGCTGTTGCAAATGGCAAGAATTCCTTCTTTTTTACCGCAGCGTAGTATTCCATTGTGTAGTTCTTAGGGTCTTATAGGAACTTGCTAATAGAGTCTAGTTCTGGAAAAATGATTTATCTGTTATAAAATTTTTACCAGAGTCTGCACACTCCGGAGTGCACATAATGAAGCCAGAAACCCTCAGAAGCAGCCTGAATGAATTCTCAATTGCTAAACCACACAGCCGTGTTTACCAGTATTTAATGACTCCTGACCATTTAGAAATTAAAATGTTATTTACTGTAACTTGTCAAGTCTCATTTCATAAAATTCTTCCAAAAAATTCTATAATCTAATCCTAAATCCAATTTGTTGAGACCTATTCAGTAACTATATAGTGTTAAGTGAAGATGATGTGGAAAACTGTTTTAAGAATCCTAAATGGTTATTTTTAATTAAAGTGGACTCTCTCTCTTTTTTTAAATCATCACTTGAGGATATTTTTTCCATTGACTTCCAGACAGAGTGGACGGGAGGGAAGAGGTGGGGAAAGAGAGAGGAACATTGATGTGAGAAAGACACATCGACTGGTTGCCTCCAGCATGCACCCTGACTGCCCTGACAGGGGCTGGGGATCGCATCTGAGATATATGCCTTGACCAGGAATCGAACCC